AGCTAAAGACTCAAGTGTAACATCGGCTAGTCGATTTTGGCAGTGGTTTGAGCCAAACAGTGCGTTACACTCGGTGGGTCCCATGGATTGCACACGCCAACGGGCCTACGGGCCCGGGGCGTGACAAATTTAGCACCATTAAAAATGAGTACTAGTAATCAGGTTGGATACTGAAGTTCTCAAAATGTTTAATGTAACAAGCTTCAACCAATAACACAAGATCAACGCTATGTTGTTGTATTAGTTTTCTTATCTCTATAATATTTTTGTGCAATGCTATCTCAGTCATGTTTATATCCATTTGTAACTTATTTCTTTAACTTTTGGTGCCTTAGGATCCATGTGCTGTCATGCTGAACACAGCTGTCAAAGCATCAAACTATCTCAGGTTTAAACATTGAATATGTTCTTGGAAAATACACTACATTCATCAAACTGACATTATTTCTTAATCTTGTCTCTTCTTAGATTTGCACCGGAAAAGCTTGAAGACCTTGAGGATTTTGTGAGGGAGTTTTTCGAAAGCCTCCCTAGTGTTCCCATAGTTTGTATAAGCTTGCTTGAAGGCGATTATGCCAACCTTATTGGTGAAACACTGCTTCTTCCTTCCTTCGTACCTGCTTGGATGCTGCTATCACGTCTAAATGGAGTTGGGCAACCAATTTCTATGCTTCTTCCTGTTGATTGCATTCCAGAAGGTATGCAATTCCTTAGAAAGGTTAAGATGTAGATAACCAATTCTGTAATAAAATTGTAATGATGTATTCATTGTCTTATCAGAAGTTCAGTTTAAATCAGTGGAGGAATGGCAGTGCCCTTGGGGTTACAGTGTTGTAGATAATGTAGCTCCAGTCTTCAAGCAGCTTTTGAAAGAGAATTTCTTGTCATCCACTATGACAAATACCAGTGCAGATGCGAAGATCAACAACATCAATTGGTGGTCTCAGAGGAGCAGTCTTAATGATTGCCTAAACAAGTTTCTGAAGTAAGCTTGCGCCATTGCTGGCTTTACCAACTTGAACTATAGATTTTTGCATGCCCACCATTTTCCCTTTATTAAATGTTGTTATGGTCGTTATAGTTTCCAACTTCATGTGCAAGTATGTAAAGGTTACGTCATCAGCATTATCAAATGGTTTTTGCCATCAAACAGTCGTGGTAACTTTTAGCTGAGATTGCTAAGTAGACTCATTTGAAGAGTTCACCAATGATGATATTATGCTGTTTGGGAGATAGGTTCCAGCAATCATACACCAACTCTCTGAAGTTCTCTTGAACTAGGTCTTTAAACAAGATACAGTACATATTAATGGCAGTTGCTCTTGTTGAAAGGATCATTGCAGATAAAGAGCAATATTGAAGCACACTACTGCATAAAGTTTTACAACATCCTTAGCTTTTTGGCATCTTTGTTCAAATAACAATTTAGGTTTCTTTTATAGGCTAGCATCTGCTGTACTATTTAAAGGTGAAAGTGGTCAAGATGGAAACTAACCTGGTGTTTGTTTTATTGTCGAAATCAGATCCATGGAAGATTCATGGCTTGGGCCATGGGCTTGCTTGTTGCTTGGTGAGCTTTCAGACGTTGACTCTGTGAGCAAGATGGTCAAAGAACTTATAAATGAACTGGAGCTTCATTGCGAAGTGGAAGCAAATGTTAGTCTCCTCACAGCTATTCTTGGTGGTTCTAAGTCTATAGCTGATGCGGAGGCATGCATTTCTCAGTTTCTGCTGTACAAGGGCTACTTTGGTAGGGGAGCATGTTGTGGAAAGGAAAGATTGAGGGTCTTCTCCACTGCTTGTACTAAAAAAATAAGTATTCCTGAAAACGTTTATAAGGTGATAGTAGAGATGGTTGATCAAGTTGCGGAACCAGCTGATAGAGAGCCCGTAATTTTAGTATTGGATTCCGACGTGCAGGTGTGTCATCAAACATCTGATACATTGTTCACTTAAAATTTTCTGTTCAATCCTTGCTCATATCTTTGATTGCGGATATATTTTCTCCAGCATACCATATCTGGCAGCTGCAATCTCTCTTTACAATCGTGGTTTTGTACTATTATTTTACCCTAGGATTAAAGTCAGTATTCTGCGAGATTTGGCAGAGAAGAGTGTATTTAAGATATTACCTACAGTGTGATGACCTTGTTGTATAGTGCTGTATCTTGCAATTGAAAGTCTGTTATTTTCATATGTGATTGATTACTAATAAATAAATTTGTTAAACGGGTCTGTAAACACTTTCCCATGTCCCATCATTATGCTATGTTTATATTATGTTATCGAGGCATCTTTTTGCGAAGTGCCGGCTCCATCAGCATGTGAAGTGCCGGCTTCATCAGCATGTGAAGTTCCGGCTCCATCAGCATGCGAAGTGCCGGCTCCATCAGCATGCGAAGTGCCGCCGTCATCGTCACGTGGCCGTCGGCGCCGAGTGTACGCTTGCCCAAATGATCGAGACCTGTCCTCACGGCCTGCGAACTCGTCGACGTGAGTCTTATGAAACACCTGTGCTATGGTCTTCTTGATCCTGCCGAGGAGCCCTAACGCCACCTGATCCTGAATCTCAGGCACGGTCGCATCAATATCAGCCTGAATGCTATCAAAAGCACGGACCTGTGAGGTAAATAATTTATTAAGTACCAACTCAAGAAAAAAATATTATAATTTAGCTTAGAAACTTACGTAATCTCTCTCGTTCATCCCACTAGGGATGTAACTGTCTGTCGGTGGCCGTGGCATGTGTCCAGCTAAGGGCTGTGGGTCACGTGTGATCCATCTACGTGTGATATCCCAATACCAACCCATATATGCGGTGTAGTCAACAGCCGTGGGCCTCGTATCCTGGATGAAATCCCACCTGTGAGCCCACCTGTCTATGTAGGCCGCACGGACTACGGTCCAGTCGTTATGGTGCGAAGTAGGTCACCGCCGACGAGAGATCTGCTCAACAGGATCTGGTACATGCTGAGAGAGCGTAAACTGTCGTAGCACACGGTCAGGGACATGCATCTCCACGATCTCCCAACAAATCAATGGAACTCTCGCTCTCCACAAGTCGGGACTATCTCAGCAGATGGGTGCAAGAGAATGCATATCCAGCTCCGGCGGTGTATAGGGTCTCCACTGTCCGGATCCGATTCTTGGCGAGCACCCGCATCACAAAAGGCAGGAGTTCGAGGGGATCGAGATCTCAGATCTACGTTGTTACACTCCGGATCTAAGCTTGGTCTTAGATCCCGAGACTTGGACGATTGTTTCCTTGGTGAATCAATCCTCCCCGGCTATTATTTCCTTCGTGAAATAATACCCGTTATACTGCGTAGATCTGTTCGGATCTAGATCGCGCGGTGGTCCATGGCAAACAACCCCGGCGTAGGCAAACAACCCACCAAAGCGAGTGACCGAATAACAGGAGCTCGCGATTTGTTCGACAAAAGAGAAAAAGTTGTAATTTTTTTTTAATTTTCTTTATTTTTGATTTTTATTGTAACCGGATCTAAAAAATCATTATAACTGGATCTAAAAAAGACCGGATCTTCTGTAACCGAAAAACTGTTATTCAAGATAGCAATGACATCAATGAAGAAAGCAACGAATTTTCCGGCGAACAATCATGTGCAATATGTAAGCACGAGCATGGAACTGAAGCGTCTCCATACTGGCATCCTCTGGTATGTCGTCCTGAAATGTCTGACGAAGCCACGATAGCTTCATCGCACCACTCCTCAAGTCCGGAACCTATCCAAGAAGCCGGGCACATACCTCCGGCCAACTATGATCATCGGTGCCCGTAACTTGGTGCACTCCCCTATATGCATGTGAAAGGTGTTAGTCTCTGGCCTCCACCTCTCAATCAAAGCAGTGATAAGCGGCCAATCAAGCCTGATATATCGAACCGTCGAACACTCCCGAAAACCAGCCTGAGAGATCAGCGCTAGAACTCTCTCATCCTCAATGACCCAAGCTGAATGGCTCTGGAAATGCTCGATCATGGTGATATCTGGTACGGGCTACACGTCAAAAAGAATAGATTAAGTATAATGCAAAAAATTAAAATTAGTGCCAATGCTAACTAGCATATACAAAAGATGTTTTACCTGTCCTGAGCCAATATAATCTGAAACGTGGCTCGCCTGGAGGGTCAAAACGTCAGGGCATATCGGTCCTGGATCCATAATGAATATAACTGAGAATTATATTAGAAGACAATGCACAATGTGTTAGATCTTTATGTTAAAATACTCATCTAGTTATATATAAACAACAAACGAATGCGCAACGTGAAGAAAGCAATAACTCGAAACCAAACATTAAATTTATATAACATAGTACGAAACCATACAAATTACAATCACAAATGAGATACGGAAACAAACAACTCACGAAAACCGCTACAAATTACAATCACAAATGACACACGGAAACAAACACAGAACGAAACCCCTAACATTTAACAATCACAAATAACATACGGAAGAAAACACAGATCGAAACCGCTACAAATTACAACATCAACGCCTAATCCTAACTGGACAATTATTTTTCTTATGGCCCGGTTGATCGCATCTACTACACTTATTTCTCCTCCTAACTCCTTCACGACCGTCATCCATACAATTTCTAATTCGTACGGAACGAGGGCGCCCCGCCGACCTTTTATACAAAGGAGGCAATATCAGTGGCCCGTCTTGTGTCCAATATCGACTATCATATGGTGGTCGAAAACACTCTTTGTATGTTTGTCGATAGTTGTAAGTAGAATACCAAGCTTCGACAAACTCATAGTGTGAAATCCCCGCACCACCTTGTAGATCAGAACAAGCCGCGACAACATGTGAACAAGGAATCCATTGTAATTGCGGTACGTTGCAAGTGCACGTACACGAGTGATCCACTAACATGTTAACTTTATAAGAGCGATTTTCCCTATGTGATATTCCCTCAATGACTTCTCATTCATTAAAACTGTATCTTACGACATGAAAGGATCGAGCTTGTACAATCCGAGCCGTTAACATTTCATCATTTTTCGGTGTGAGCTCCGAGCGGATATTTTCACCAAGTTCGCGACGTTGTAGAAAGAAGTTATTAAGTCTGTAGAATATTTTAGTAACTAGTGACTGTATTGGCATACCGCGTGCTCCCCTGAGCACCCATTGAAACTCTCTGAAGCTTTCGTAGTCATCATACAAAACCGTCTCCCACCATCTTCACATAAAGCCCACTTATCAACATTGTGTGGTCCCAAACTAGTTTCGATCCAATCATGTGCAGCTCGGGAGATAAACTTAATCCTCTCTCGTATTTGGTCATAAACTAATTTTTCTGTTGCACAGCCGGCTTGCCAAAGAAGATCTTGAACCTGACCGTTTCCAAATTTCTTCTTGAAGTTGTCCCTAATATGTCGTAAGCAATAACGATGTGCATGTGGTGACGGGAAATGACGTTGGAGTGCTCTTGGAATTTCTTTCATCCTATCAGATATGAATGTAATCGACCGCGCACCCACACTAGGGATATGATATCTAATGCATGCAAAAAACCACGCCCAATTCTCTGTGTTTTCAATATCAACCACTGCAAACGCCAAAGGAAACAAACCGCCATCCGCATCAACTCCGGTGGCAACAAGCAAAACACCTTTGTACTTACCGTATAAGTGGGTGTCATCAATGCTAAGAAGAGGACGACAATATCGAAACCCCTCAATACAAGGCCCAAATGCCCAAAATACACCGGTGAACCGCCGATCTCCGCCATCAACGGGGTCCGAAGATACTTCGTAGACAGTTCCTGGATTTTTCTCTTTTGAGTGCTTCAAGATAATGAGGTAAGATCTCATACGATTTATCCCAACCACCGAATATTTTTATCATCGCCTTCCTCCTAGCATTCCAATACTTGTGATATGATACATCCAAGTTGGTGGCTTTTTGCATTAGAAGACGAATATCTTTCGACCTTAGATCAAGATCCTCCCTCAGATACGGTAAAATCAATCGATATATGAAGGAAGAGGATGCATTCTTGTTATTCATCTCTAATCGAGGATTGCTACAAGTGTGGAGTCCGTTGTATGCCGTGATTTTGAATTGCCCGCCTACTCTTACACCGGAGCGTGAATTAAGCTTCCACGGACATTTCGCATTGCCGTCGTGGTGTCCACCAATATCTTCATCATCGCCATCTCTGCGATAGAAACAAACCGCATTATAGCTTGTAGTATTATTTTTTGTTGGCCTAAACTTGACATTTTTTGCAATGGCGTACGAGCAAAGCGCATGGATCAATTTCTCTTTGCTCTCATATAGATCTCCCTTCACGAATGAGAAGTCCTCGCCCTGTGTATCATGACCGCTATTAGTGCCAATAGGAACACTTTCCATCACGGAGTTATCGATCCATTCTTCTCCTTGAAGTTCATCGGGCGACGGATCCTCTAAGACAACATACCCATTATTAGCATAACACCCGTCAATGTGGTGGTTGTCCCCTTCATCACGATTTATCAAGGTGATGCTATTAATTTGTAAGCCCTCCTCTTCATCATCATTCTCAGATTCAACACTTGCATTATCTTCTTGAACTCCCGTGTTAGTATCGACCGCATTCGAAGTGCCCACAAGCGAAGGACCGCTCATATATTGTGATTGTGTCTAACCTTCATCTTGTTGAGGAGATAAAAAGCCATCGGAATCAACATCAGGGTCCTCCAACATGCGGGAATACATTCCGTCATAATTCAACGATTTGCCCAAATTCCTTTGATGTTTTTTAATGAACAATTCAATCGAACGCTTCTCGTCATGTAAGACTCCAATAAGACTCATATCGTAGTCACTTGATATTTGAATGCCGCTTGTCCCGTTCTTCACAACAGGATAATTGCAAATAACATTAAGGTGATACTCACGTGAGTTGGTTAATGTAAGTTTGTACAATTCATTAACCAACTCATCGAAAGTACACGATTTTGTTATAAACAATGGTCTCGTCGTACCTCCTTCATAAACGGGCATATTATTTTCGAGGTATTTAATCTTCTCATCATACGAACACAAAATTATGATTCGATCGTTCATCATTACCTCTGAAGAGTAAAACATTCAAGATCAATATTACACGAAAAGACTTTAAAAATTTATTGTTACTTACAATTAAATCCTATATCAATTTTAGGGAACCATAATTTTTTTCAAATTCATATACCGATTCATATACCGATGTCATACATATGTAGTAACACTATTTTTTACATTATTGATAATTTACCCTCTAACTCGACAAAATAATTTAAGTTTTTTTCACATAATTCATAAAATTCACAATTAAATTCTCAAATCTAATTGATGTCATATAGTACTAATTTTTAGATTTTTTTATAATTTCATAACTTATTCACAATGAAATTCTAAAATCGACAAAATTATTGATAACACTATTTTTTTAAAATAAATTAGATGTCATACATATGTAGTAACACTATTTTTTACATTATTGATAATTTACCCTCTAAATCGACAAAATTATTTAAGTTTTCTTCACATAATTCATAAAAATTTCACAATTAAATTCTAAAATATAATTTTTTACATGTAATCACCATTAAATAGCGAGAAAATACAAGAAATTAAGAGAAAATCTAATTTTGGGAGGAATTTACCCTCAATCTGTCGAAATTCGGCGACGACGGCGGTTCCGGCGGTCGGAATCAAGGGCCGGCGGTCGAAAAGGGGTTCCGACAGTTGGATTAGGGCTTTGGAGGTCGGATTTGGGGGGCTGGGGTCGGAACTGACGTGGACGGCGGCGGTTGGGACGGGAGAGAAGTTAGGGGGAGTTCAACTCCCGTGAAGTTTAAAAGAGTACTAAACTTCACGGGAGTTGAACTCCCGTGAAGTTTCGTAAAGTTTTTTAGAAAAACCGACCTGGTTTCAGCGACTGTGCTGAAACCAGGTCGGTTTTTCTAAATAAATTGGAAACAGGTTTTTTTTTGCAATTAAAACATGAAACGGGTTGGTTTTGAAAATTTGTCCCATATTTGTGTGAAGTCAATCATGTTCACTTTTTATTATGTGTATATGTATATTTACTCCTTCTGTGAGAGAAGAGTAAATTTCACTAAACCCCCAAGAATTTTCAGAGTTTCACACTAAACCCCCAATAAGTTTCAAAAATCCCACCAAACCCCCAATATTTTTTGCATTTTGCACAAAAAGTCCATAAATTAGAACCATAAAACAACATAATAAGGCATTTTAAAAGTTGTGGGTTTTTTGTGTAATTTACTCTAAAGATATTGGGGTTTTCTACAAAAGTTATTGGGAGTTGCATCATATTTTAAAAGTTATTGGGGTTTACTGCAAAATGCTTAAAGTTTTTTGGGGGTTTAGAGTAACTTGCCCATTAGAGAAAGTATATAGGTTCCAGTTCATTTCGTTAATTGTTTACACCAAATTTAAAGCAAACCACTATTGAGGTGAAACTTCAAACTCAAAATGAATCAAATCAATGAATAATATACAAACAAAAGAAATCGCACAAATCTTTACAGTTGAGTATTTCCTCCTTGGCGACTTTTGGTAGAACCTAGCCCAAGAACGGCCCAATTAGCAATTTAGGATCAAATTAGTCTTTGTTTCACCTAATCACGCATAACACCCTTCAGTATCCCTCCACTTGAGGTATTCTAACCCAGCAAGATAATGCGTATGAGCCCCTGCAATGACCAGAACATGAAACAACTGATGGCTATGCCCTACAACGTCAAATTTTCCGGGCATCCATCGCTCCGGTACCCGTGCCACATAAATCACCACTCCGAGCCCATAGAACAAGCCCATTAAAGACTCGTACCTGGCGGTAATAATAGCCTCGGGCCTGTGGCCCATGGCGATCACCTTGTGCGTGATGGGCACTAGGCCCGATACGGCCATGCAGACGAAGAGCAAGGCCCGGAAGGGCCTAAACTCAACGGCCTGAAAGGCTGGTACTAGAGAAACTAGTACCGTCGCGAGTCCGAATACTGTAATGAAGCTGATGTAGAGAGTGCATATAAGAGGATCGCACATGAACGGGTAGTAGACGACAGGGTAGAAAGAGGTGACGATGAGGGTGGCGATGCCCGTGTAGTCGAGGCGTAGCATTTTGTAGGCGCATTTCTCGGAGTGGCACATGAGGAGGTGGCATAAGCTGCTTGTGAGCAGGCAGACCATAGCCCCCAGTAAAAATGCGAAGAAGGGCCAACGGGTTATCGGGCTTCGGCCCAACTGAGGGCCCATTGTGGTTGTAGAGGAAACGTTTGCAACTTGAGCAATGTTGTACAGGTTTGTAAGTGGCAACGTTATGGTGTAGCCAATGTTGTAGCCAAAATGCAGCGTTGCGAAATTTGGAGAGCCAAGAAAATTTTCGTTACTCAACATGAAAATTGCAGAGATGGTGAGGGCGAGGAAGATGAAGAATCCAATCAAATGCCTGCAAAAGCAATGAACAAAGTTGCTGAGAATTAATTGAGATAGAGAACTAAACTTACCAAAATTAAATGATAGGCTAACTTGTTTTCAGAATTCTTACGTCCATATATTAAGAGTCTCGTTGTGCATCGAGAAAATGCTAAGTACGGTCTCCTTCATCGGCCATTCTGATCGATAGTGATTTAGAATGAACTCGTTGTCTTTTAAGTACTCCGGTAGAGAATCGAATCCAACGAGCTCGCATTTTGCATCTTTACCTTCAACCTTCTTCTCACGTCTCTTGCGACTTGTAGATCTTTGCTTTTCGTTGGCTTCACCGTTGAAAGAGCAAGTTTCCTCAAACATAACTGCAGAGTCCATGGCCGAGCTCAAGGAAGAAGAAGAAGAAGACTTGCAAAAGTTGAATTGGTTTGATGCAGAGAGCTGAATGATGCTGTAATGTATATAGGCTGATTTGAGAAGTTGGACTTTCAAAGAAGCGACATTTATTAATAGTAGTCTGAAGTATGAACCCAAATTATGTTAGGACAAATTAGGGGCAGAAGTTGATTTGGCCTCCAGTTAATTTGGCACGTTTCGATTAGAAAATTGAACCGTAGGCGACAAGTTCAGAGATGATGGGTTGTACACGTGAGACGAGCTCCTCTTAAATTGAGTCCAGATCAGAGATCAATCGTTTGAAATTTTCTAGTCAATTATAGCGTATATATACAGCTCATTTGTCAAACAAAGCGCAGATTAATTAGTTGTTAACGACAGTCAATTTTTTATAAATAAAGGTTAATATAAGAAAGTATATTATTATTTATTAAGAGTAATTGAAGATTTAAATACGAAAGTATGACTGGGACTGGAGTGTTACAGTAAAAAAATAGTGAAGGTTTAAATTCCACTTGTATCATTTAAGTTTTAATTTAAAAATGATATACCATAGTATAGTATAGCCGAGATTTAAGATCGTCAAACGACGCATCCTTCTTAAAAAGAGGCTTATTAGCAATTTGGTAAAAGCTTACACTTTTTTAAACTTTGATATCCGATAGTCTAAATCTCATCCTGAGAGGGAGGGTGGAGAGAGAGAGAGAGAGAAAACTGGGTTTGTTCTTCATCTGCGTCAATCCCTAAAAAAATGAATTTGGTAAGATATATGTTTCTTCTTCACATTTCTATGTTGATATGCCATGAATTAAGCTTGTTCAGATCAATCTTTTTAGGTTATGAACAGATTACAGATTTCCTCTTTTTTAAGAGTGAAATTAATGGATTTGGATATACTCTTTTACCAAAAAAAGAGTTGGAAAGACAACTATGTTAACTACAACTGTTGGTTTATGTAATGGATGGTTATAATTCCTTTTATATCTAACGCTTATCATACTCGCATGAAGTGCACTATGTTTCTAATTTACACTCAAAGGAAAATTATGATCATCCACTAAAGAAATCAACAGTTATGATACAGTAGTAGTTTCTCCGAATTAAAGAAGATTCGAATCCGAATCCGAATTAATGAATATTGCCTCGAGACTAGTATGGTTTGAGAACAGGTCTGAACCTACTAAACACTATTGACTTTTCGTGCTAATAATCTTAACTGTCGACAACCACACAACAGCCACTGCTTTTCTCCTACTGTGAGTATCACATTTCACGAGCAACGCAAGTTCAGGCTTACTTTTTTTTGTGGGTTTGGACTTTGAATGTACATATTATTTGACAAATTAGGCACGCTACAATCGTCCCCATTACGCAATTGCAAGTTCAATATGAGTTCACATAGATGGCCACAATAAAGCCTCTAAGTAACAGCCACCTTAAATTAGAAACATTAAGTTTGGAGATATCAGCATCATAATTTCCTTTACGAAATAGAACTAAATCATATTAGAAATATGTATAAATTAACCAAATAAAACAAGTAAGCCACATTACTCTTAAAATATAGCAGCCATTCGCTCAAGAGGCAATACATCAAAGAACAAGGAAGATCACCTAATTATCGGAAAGGACGACGTTAAGTCTTCAGATAATTTGGCGCCATTTTCTTGTGGCCGGCTCTTGATAAATTCAAGTTGCCGCGAATATTGCTTTTTTCTTCAAATTTTCAGTTAAAAAAATGTTACTTGAGATAACTCAGATAAGCATGAACTCTATATCCTCCAAGTAGCCTAGTGCTAGGGACTTGAAGCCTTGACGCCCAAGACCAAGGGTTGATCCGTGTCCATGATCTTACTTATCCTCAATTTTCAATTATTAGGTAATACAACATCTATCATATTCACCTGGCTCGTGAAAACACGACTAGTTCTATCTCTGGAGCATTACTCATGAGATCCCTTGTGGCCTCTATAGTCGATCAAGTTGAGGGGCCGAACTCTGGGCTCCTCCTTGATACTGTTGTCCGAGGGCTAACACAAACGCTGAGAGAGAAGGCCAAACACAATCAAAATAACAGTACGAACACAAAAAAAATGAATTTTACGTGGTTCGGCAAGTTGCCTACGTCCATGGGGCAAGAAGGGGATGGATTTTCACTAATAGAGAAGGAGAGTACAAATAGAGATTACAAATTTACTCAAAATCTCTCAAACAAACCTCTCAAAACTCTCAAACAAAACCCTAACCAAATTGCTTAGAAAACTCTATTTTCTGTGCACAAAACAAACCCATTTTCAACTCTCTTTTTTTAATGGTTCCATATATATAGAAATCCTAAAACCAAAAACATACTAGGAATTCTAAAACAAAAAACAAAACAGATTAGGAATCCAAATAACTTGTTACCAAAACAGATTTAAAACTATGTTATCAAAACAGATTAGGAATCTCAATAGCCTGCTACTAAAACAAATTAGGAAGCATATTAGGAACCTGCTATCCAATAATTCTCTACCTCGACGATGTTTTTTCAAAACTGAGCCGACACCAATATCAACCAAACGTCTCACTTATTACGTCCAGTACGAAGTGGAACAAATCTACGAAAACAGACTCAATCCACAACAAGTCGAGAACCCAAACGAGAATGCGAACAAATTCCAAATATCGGTATCAACTCACCAAACTGACTGCATCAAAATGACTGTCTACGTATCCTCTTGCCCAAGAAATCAAGCCTCACGTAGTTCACCAAATGGCCTCCAAAGGCCCTCAATCAACTAGAAGGATTCTCAAACATTCACGATCATCACCAACAAAGCTGCAGGTGATAACTCTCCCACTGGCCTCAAAGTAAAACGAACCAAACACCTCCACCTGAGGTGAACCAACGGCCATAGCCAAATCTGAACTGTGTCCACCAGCTGCACCCGAATCAACAAACTCATCATCTGTATCCACATCAACATGATCTCCAATCTGTGTCACCTCAGCTAGAATCCTAATAGATACAGAATGATCTAGAGAACGTGAAGTAATCTTCACCCAACGTTAAGTAGCATCACTCTCCACCGCTACGATAACCCAATGATCTGTCCAACACTCTCCACATGCTGAGAGTCAAATATGACAGTACTATTCAGAATAATACCAAAATCCCATAACTAGTAACCAAACACACCTCTGAATCCCAAATGTGCACTCGGATTAAATTTCACATCCTCGATGTGATAATATGTTGGGCATCCAAATATCCGAAGCAACCTAAAATCTAAATCAGCTCCACCAGATCCAAAAACTCCAATCGCGGTAGACGACAACCTATAAATAAGATGACTCCAACATGTCAAAGCCTCAATACCAAAACTCCTCTGCAAACTACTACTTGACATCAAACATCGATCCTTCTCCAGCAAGGAAAAACCAATCAAATTTACCATCTCATCTCGTTACCCTAATGTTTCCTTTCCAATGAAGTGTCTCAAACTGCCTTGAGCTAGGCACAAATGCAGAAAATGATCCCTCTTGTACTTTCTACCCAAATCAGAACTAAGTAAATTTACCTTTCTACCTATACACTTCTTCCACCTGTTATTGACTACTAGGACTTCACTCAAACGGGACTTGGTTGCAGTCCACAAATGTCTAGAATAGTCTTCAACATAGAAAACCAAGTAGCTATTACCTCCCAATAATGCCTCCTTAGAAGACCCCCAAATGCCTATGTGAACATCATCTAGAAGGTCCTTCGCCCGATGAATAGAGGTGCCAAACTTCTGTTGGCTTTTTTATTTTGATGATATTTTAACAAACAATTTATGACTAATATTGTTTGTCTAGTGTTTGTGTTTTTTATTTATTCTAGATAAACAATATGTTAGAGGTTGGATGGAATCAAGTTTTCACGATCATATCCATTGGAGGATGGAAGGAATATCGGCATGAAGCAATACATTTCAAGTCAAGATCCAAGATCAAGCTTCATCCGCAAAGTTTACCAAGACGAGCTCAAATTGAAGATCAAGATAGTTTGGGTAATTTAGTTTTAAGTTTATATTATGTGTGTAGATACTTTAAGCTTAATCATATATACACATACACATTTTGGTTTTATACACACACACATGTTTTGGTTTTATAGATTTCAAGCTTATATATGAAACAAATATACTTAATTATATATATACATACATGTTTCATATATATCATTTTTTAGTTTTGATAAACTATGTGTTTAGTCACATATAGATGAATTGAATACGCATATATAAATACATATTCATGTTTATATGCGCTCATTGTGATTTCATTGAAATCAAGTTTTGATTATCATGTTTATTATTTTAAAAGAATGCAAAATATGTGTATTTTCGATGAAATATTATATTCTTAGTTTATGGACTTAATTATACTAGTTTACATCTTTTCCCAAGTCTATAAACTCATTCAAAATTTTTTAAAACATTGTTTAAGTCAAAATGTCAAAAACATGTCTTGTTTACTTTTCATGTTTTGGACAATTTTGCAAAATAAAAATATTTCTCATTTGGGAAGTCCAATTACAAAAATTCTTTTTGTAACATGTTCATTAACATGTTTATAGTCATTTCTCAAAGTTTTACATTTTTAGAATTTATTTGCTATTTTTAAAGAGGTTTAAAAACTAGTTTTACTATTCATTTTAGGTTGATAAACTGTTATCAGTCGACTGATGGATTTTATCAGTCGACCGATGAACTCGTCTGGAAAGTACCAAAATTTTTGTTTTTGCAACTGATAAACTATCAGTCGACTGATGTGGTCATCAGTCGACTAATAAGCTCTTCAGTCAACCGATGAGCTGTTAGCTGCCTATAACGATCAGCTCATCAGTCGACTGATACTGTTCATCAGTTGACCGATAGCTTTCTAACAGTTAGTTTTTTTAGTTTTTTAGGTTTTTATTTTTTTTTTCTTTTTCCTTGTTTTTCTCTTGGTTTTGGGGCTTATTCTATAATCCTATATATACCCCA